TTTTACAGGAGGAATCAACATTTTTAAAGAAAGCAAAAATCACCCACCATCTCTAATAAAGCGACTATTTTACATTTCCCCCCTAGACATCCAGTCCTCCTAAACGCAGAGGCCCTCAAAGCCACTGGCCCACCACCTCGACCAAAGACCCATAGTTAAAATCCCCCAGGAAACAGAAGACACCTCCGTGTTCCTGACTGCGCTCGCATGTTACATACTAAAGAAGTTTCTAGCCGAAACCGGTTTGGCTCAGTGGATAGAGCGTCAGCCTGCAGACTGAAAGGTCCTGGGTTCGATTCCGGTCAAGGGCATGTACCTGGGTTGTGGGCACTTCCCCAGTGGGGGATGTGCAGGAGGCAGCTGATTGATGTTTCTCTCTCATCGGTGTTTCTATCTCTCTCTCTCTTCCGCTCTGTAAAAAGTCAATAAAATATATTTTTTTAAGAAAAGAAGAAGTTTGTAATCACAAGCATTCAGCACGATATCATTTGGAAAACATCAAGAGGGGGGGAAAGTCCTCCCGCCTGATGTGAACACAGCAGAATTGGCATTCCCTTTTAGAACATACTGTGATTCCTCATGGAAACACTTTGCGAAAAGCCAGTCATATATCGTAACGTAGCCCCCAAGTCTGAAACCACGGGTCCCTCCAACCACACAAAACAGCTGTGCCCTTGAGAGAAAGGTCATCTGCTGCAGCCGTGTTTCTTTTTACTTTTAAAGAAATGTCAGGCCGTGTTTTATGCAGTCCTTATGACAGGGTGCTGTTTATTGTATCAGCAAGCTGCCATAACTTCAGGATGAGGAAACTGCCATTATTTGGAGAGTATATATCTTTCTGACTTGCAGGAAAGATGAAAATTAAGAACGGCCCTTTTGCGGAGTGGGTCTAAGTATTCCCTGACAGTCTCCTACAATATTTCAAACATCTTCGTCAGACCCATAAAACCTGATGCTTGCCTCACTTAGCCCAGCCGAAGCCGCGTTGGAGTTGGGACATTTATCACAAGTGTGGTGTGAATGCTGCCACTTGGCAGATGTTTTTGAGCAAGGATTTTAAGCCAGCTTGCCTGACGTCCCCAAGGACAATGAAGTGTACATAACAAAATCATACATTCGGAAATAATAACAGTAGCTAATGTGCATCATGTGCTCAGATCTGTGTAAAGCGTTCTACATGCATTATCTCAATTTGTCCTCACATCTAGAAGGTCAGCATTAGTAACCCAGATAAGAAAATTAAGATGGAAAGAAATCAAGTTACTTGCCCCAAGGTCACACTGCTGGAAAGCCAGGGTGCCAGGAATCCAACCCAGGTCTCATCACCCTGAGCCACACATGTAATCAACATGTGTCCATCAGGAGATGTTTCCTACGCACTGCGGTCCCACAGAATATGTTGCTGTTACTGTCTAAATTGTATCAGAGAGAGTAAGTTCCTTTGGCATGGTAACACAACCGTGTGACAGCCTGCGTTTGAAACCAGATCTGTGTGACCTCCAGCTCCATACTCTGGTGCCAAAGTTCTTGACCTCGAGAGTAGAGATGAGAAGTAAAGGGAATGTGAAACATTTTTTAAAACCTGCTCCAGGTCTTGCTTGTCTGGGATCAACGAGGGAGGGAATGTGATAAAGTCACTTGAGAGTTCTGTTTAAAATCCTTGTCAAATTCTGTTCCAACGTGTTCTTATGTTCTAGTGTCAGTGAAATTTTAGGAGCGCCAAACTGCTTCAGAAATCAGAATCTGGACCAAGCTTACGCGGGGCAAGCCATTACTAAGCTAAAAGCAGCCTGTTCGTGTAGGTTAGTCCAGCAAGCGGTACCTTGCCCAGATCACGTAGCTCGTCGTGGCCCAGTGCAGTGCAGGCAAGGTCTCCTGCCAACCAGAAATCTCTGTTGGGATGGGGAAACCGTGAGGTTCAGATTGAGTAGGTGAAGTGGCTGCGAACCTTTCTTCTGCTTAGAGAAAAGAAAGTCACAAGGGAGGCAGACAGCTGACATACAAATTTACTTTCTCCTTCCCCTCAGCTCGCCTCCCCTCCCCCCACATTCCCCTTCTTTGCCCTCGCTCCCTTTCTTCTCCCTCCTTCCTCAGCCACCCCGGGGTGGGAGAGAGAGCCAGTGGGGGTGGGAACTGACTGAATAGGTGGGCTGGCTTCTAGCCTGTGCTCCGACACTCACTAGCTTTGTAACTCTAGACAAGTCGCTTAACCTATGTCTTTCGACCTCAATTGCTTCATTTTTTTTTCCAGCAGATTTGTCTTAAATGCCAAATGAAATGTTCATATTTCATCGGTGACATGAAGAGCTAGGCCAAATGGAGTTTGCAGTCCTTTCTAGGTTTAAAATGCTGTGACTCTCCCCCTGCAATGATGCCCTTTTCCCTTTCTTTCTCCTTTCTCCCTTCATTCTCTCCTTCTTTCCTCTGTCACCTGCATTTCAGCCCACCTCTACGTCTCTCAGACATGGAAGCAGAGAAATAAAGACGGAGAGGAGAGAAATTCGTAGGTGTGTGGGATCTTCCTTTCTTAAAATCAATCTTCTTTCCTTCCTCACTCCCTCCTTTCTTCTTTCCTTTGCTTCCTAACCTCATGGTAATTTCTTTGGCTTTTCAAGAGAGCATTTCAGGGAATAAAGAGACCTCTCTCAATTCATGTCCTCATCTAGGCAAACATTTAGAGTGTCTGCAAGTGCCAGCATTTTGTTGGGCATGGTAATTACAATGGCCACCAGTGGGATCTGGGAAATATTTGCTCACCTTGGTTTGTAAATGGTGGTTCCTCGGGGAACAAAGGAGCTGATGCACACTGCAATCACCTGCCTCGACAAGAAGGGCCTGGACCAAGCACCCGGCCTACCTTAAAAGTGGCGGTTTCAGGAGTGCCCTGTAAGAAAGCCTTCCGGATAGACGTGATCCCCATGGCCTTCAAGGACAGTCGGCAAGTGCCAGCTCTGTCTGTGTTGACTGCATCCAGCCCTCCTGCTTGAGAAGAGCTTCAAAGGGCTTGAGGAATAGCTAGACCAGCCCTGCCCAATAGAACTTTGTGCAGTTATGGAAATGTCCTCTCTCTGCGTTGTTTAATATGGAGGCCAATGGCAAAATGGCTATTGAGCACTGGAAATGTCACTAGTGTGACTGAGGAACTACACTTTTAGTTTTATCCTATCTTAATTATTTAACTTTAAATAGTCACATGTGGCTAGTGCTACCACACGGGGCAGTGAAGATATAGTAAACACTACAGATTAAGCAATAGGACTCCTAGACAGTCTAGAGCAACTTACATAAAATGGAAATCAGGTACATGGTATAAGAAGATAAGGATGTTGAGGGTGATCAAATCCTGAATCATGAGGGAAAATGCCAAAACAAGGAAAAGGGTAGGATCTTACTCTTAGACAGTTTCAGATTTCCCTGGCTCGTAGTAGCTCTCCAGAACTTCATTGGATGATGCATGGTTGCTACTGATCTGGCTAGGGTACTTGTTCATTATGAAGAACAGAGACTCGCCCACATTAGCTTAAGCAATGGTGGCAGTAGTTGTGGAAAAGCTGTACTTGTTCTAGACAGGGGTGAGGATCCTTCGGACCTCCAAAACCAATAGCCAAATAGAGCTAAATCTCATGGTGGTTAGATGGATCTGGAATAAATTTCAATAATTGTTTTTAAAATAATATGTCAGATACTAGTACAAATTGTATAAGCACTTTTCTGGATTTTAGCCATGATAATACCAAAGATAAAATTATTATTAAAGGGCTTTTAAAGAGTATATCAAGGGCAAGAAGACTAAGGGCATCTTCATGCTTGAGGCAGAAGTTGATATTAATTAATTACAGATAGAAAAAGGACTATTCGGCCCCAGTTATTTTGTTTCCTCCTATTTTACCTTAAGGAGATCAATTTCCATAAGAGAAAAGATCATGCAAACACTGTAAGAGAGAAGCCAAAGCTGTTTATAATACACTAGAGGCCAGGTGCATGAAATTCATGCATGGGGGCAGGGGGCAGGATCCCTCAGCCCGGCCTGCACCCTCTCTAATCCAGGACCCCTCAGGGTCGGACATCCCTCTAGCAATCCAGGACCGCTGGCTCCTAAACTCTCGCCTGCCTGCCTGCCTGATCACCCCTAACCACTCTACCTGCCTGCCTGATCACTCCTAACTGCCTCTGCTTTCTGGCCTGGTTGTCCCCTAACTGGTCCCCTGTTGGCTTTTTCCCCCCCTAGCTGCCCCCCTTCTGGCCTGGTCTCCCCCTAACTGGTCATCTGCTGGCCTGGCCACCCCCTAACTGCTCACCTGCTGTCCTGGTCGCCCCCTAACTGCTCCCCTGCCAGCCTGATCATCCCTAACCACCTCTGCCTCGGCCCCTGCCACCATGGCTTTGTCCAGAAGAAAATTGGATGTCTGAAGATGTCTGGTCAACCTGGTCTAATTAGCATATTACCCTTTTATTAGTATAGATGCCATTGCTCTCAGCACATTCAAGTCTCCAGGTCTACATAAATTATACCACCAGGGTCTTGTAGAAATAATGAAAGCTGAAATGCTATGGATACATTCTGAACAATTATGGAGAATGAGAGAAGGCCCAGCAGGCTGGAGAGGATTGAACATTTTCCCAGTTTTCAAGAAAGGGTATAATAAACATCCTATAAATAAAGATCAATAGGCTTGATGATAATCTATCGAACAATCAAAGTGGGTTTTAAAGAAAGGGGCTTATGGACACACTTTGAAAAGAAAGCAGTGATCACCAAGAGTCAGAATGGGTTCACTAAGAATAAATCATGCCAGTTTACCTTCCATCCTACTTTGGCACAGAGGATGGCAACCTATAAATTACACCACATCATAGTGTTTAACAGGGTCTCTCATTAGAGACCATCTTTGCAGACAAGATTTAGTAATTTGAGCCGAATGCTGGTACCATTAGTAAGCACTGGATGGCTTTCCTCAAAGAGCTGTGATTAATAGATGACTGTCAACCTGAAGGGAGGTTTTTATATCATGCCATAGAACGATTTGTCCTTGGCCTGCTCTGCTAAAAATTTGCATGACTTAGATGAGGACAGTGATGGTATGTTTATTAAATCAGCGGATGACAGGAAACTAGGAGGGATAGATAATAGATTTCAGCCCCCAAATCTTCTCAGTCTGAGACAATGGGCCAATTTTAATAAATTTTCAGTGTAAAGATCTGCCCTCATCCACATTAACACACACCTCCTTTAGCTCCTTAAAAGACCAGATGGGGTGACACCAGGAAAACTTTGCCTGAGTAATTAAAACCCAGCTTCCACCATTTTCCATGATCAGTTCACTAGAAACAATTTGCCTTCCAGCCTCTTGACCTGTTTTATTTTGTGGTCAGTCGAATACGTACAGTATCTCATCTCATCCATTGGCTCTTGTTAGGACTGACCCCCAGGATGACTCCTCAGTCTCTTGTCTTGGCGCCCAGCTCCCCAGGAAGAAGTTCAAGGTTCAGCCTACAGTTACAGCCCACAGTGCTTTCTTCCCTTCCCAGTGAGGGACTCTCAAAACCAATTCTTGCTATTTGCTTTGTGATGGGACTGAAGAAAGCTTCTGTCCTGGGTGACCATCCTGGGCTTGTGTGGAGTTGCACTATGTTCTGTTCAGCAGGCTCTGCTTGATCTGTGATGTCATCTAAAAGCCTCAGATAACAGAGACATAGAAGTATGGAACATACTGACGAATTTCAGAGGGAAGGTGGTAGGGGGAGAGCGATTAACCGGGGAACTTATATGCATATATGTATAACCCCTGGACACAGACAATAGAGTGGTGAAGGCCTGGGAGGGGCAGGTGTGGGGTGAGGGGGACAATAGTGAGGAAAAACAAAACACAAACAAACAAAGGGGACATCAGTAATACTTTCAACAATAACAATAAATTTAAGAAAATAAGAAAGATACTCAATGGATCTGTTTTTCTTAGAAATAAATAATTTTTAAGAAAGATGACAGTTGGAATAACTATTGAGGGTAACGAATTCCCCAAAATCACATGCTAACAAGAGCAGTAAAAATATAAAAGCCTCAGGCAACCCTGCTTTGCCTCTTAACACTTTGGGAGAAGGCCCCTGTGCCATGACAGACAATGGAAGTTGGTTACGTTTTAAAAAAAAAAACCAGGAACACAAGCACTGAGCAGCAGCAGCTTGTGTTCAGTTGATTCTGAACCCAAAGCCAGTGTGATCCTGAGCTCTTCTGTCAGAGATCATGAATCCATTATACGCAGCGGTTCTCAACCTGTGGGTCGCGACCCCTTGGGAGTAGAACGACCCTTTCACAGGGATCACCTAAGACCATCAGAAAACACATATATAATTACATATTGTTTTTGTGATTAATCACTATGCTTTAATTATATTCAATTTGTAACAATGAAATTGGGTGTCACCACAACATGAGGAGCTGTATTTATTAAAGGGTCGTGGCATTAGGAAGGTTGAGAACCACTGATTATAAGGGAAGTGATTATATTGCTCCTCCTTGTGAGGATTAGACCATGCCGGAGACCACATGGAGTAGCATCAAGGTGACTTGAAGTCAACTACATAACAGAAAAGTTGAAAGCTTGGAATGTTCATCTGAAAAAACCATAATAGCTGGCCACAGATTTTAGATCTGGCACGTAAAGAAAGATTGGAGTTATTCTACTAGATAAAGCAAGTATCAATAGGTGAAAACTGCAGAAAATCAAGTTTCTCATAATAATCTCTAACAATTAGAACTGTCCGAGACTGTCTTGGGTTCCCTTAGGATTTTCTAAATTCCATGTTGCTAGACGTGCTCAAAAGGAGGGAATGTGTGATCTGTAACATCAGTTAGAATGCATGAGCCAGCCTGTAGTTAACTAGGACGTTTTTAAGGCTCTTTACACGCTAGGTTTATAATTTTATAACTACGAATATATGCTGATTTAACTTAGGCTATTTTTTTCCTAAATTTCCTTGTCTACTATTCCAAGAATATATTCTGGAGAAGATATATGACCTGTCTTTTTAAGTTTTTAAGGCGGCAGAGGAAAATTGGGGAAGCCCAAGATTAATCCTTCTTTGAAGATACAGCTGGTAAATATCTGCTGGGGTTTCCAAAATTTGCATAATCATTTGTATCAATCCTTCCCCTTACCCTGACTCCTTTGGGTCTTTTGAGCTATGATTTCAGTCCTGTCCTGTTATCAGACTCTGGACAATGCATCAGTTTCCCTCCCAAGACTTCCTCTTCACAGATGGGACCCACTCCAGGACACTGTGGCCAAGCTTGGTGAAGGGGCCTTGATTACTCAGGCACTGAACCCACACAACAACCTAACTAGCTGCTTCCTATTCCAGGATGAGAAGGGGAACAGAGAAAGGAGGGAATGATAACGAGGACGATGCTGACTAGGCTCATCCATCTTCCTGCGTCAGCCCATGGCCATTCCACTTCTGGGCCTCCTTCCATCCCTGGGCTTGTGTCTCTGGCTATACAGCCTCAAGGTGACTCCCTGCTCCTCTCCCATGGCTTTGGGTTACCCTTCCCAGAAGAGCATACTGTCTGCATTATTAGTGATCTCTGTCCAAACCACACATATTTCATCGGTTCAGATAATTGCCTTCAGAGAGGGAAGGTATGATTATTTTAATTGTTCTTGCTTCATCCCTATTTCTTAAAACCTTACAATGTCAATGCTGGAAGGTACTTCCTGGAACAGATAAATAATACTGAATAATTTACTAGTCTCAGAGCATGCTCTGGAGAGAACATATAATAATGTGGTGTAACCAGGCGACAATAAGGGATCTTTTGAAATCTAAAAATTAAAAAAAAAAAAAAAAAAAAAAAAGGAAGGAAAAGAAAGTAGAATGGTAGTAGCCAGGGGCTGAAGGAAGGAAGTCATGGGGAGTTCTTTTATGTTTTTCAATTTTTAATTATTTTCAATTTCAATTGACATGTAATATTATATCAGTTGCAGGTGGGGAATTATTGTTCAAATTAAGAAGATGAAAGAGTTCTGCAGATAGATGGTGGTGATGGCTGCCCAAGCATGTGAATGCATTTACTGCCACTGAACTGTGCACTTAAACATGGTTAAGATGGTAAATTTTAAGTTATATGTATTTTAGCACAATAAAAATTGGGGGAAAAGATCTCAAATTTAGATTTGGACTCTGTGATTTTCAATTAGAACTTCTAATTGAACTTCTAGCTGCTGTATAGACTGACTATGTCATCAGAATGCTTAACAAGCTCACCAGCAATTATTTAGGAGACTTCAGCACCCATAGTCCTCAAGTTGTGGAAGATGCTCTTTGAGCAAGGGACCACCTTTAACTGAACCAGAAATGGGCACCCAGTCCAAGGCTAGTGAATCCATAGGCTGATCAGTAAGGTGGTCTGGCATAGAACAATCTACCCCACAGGTAATTACCAGGATATCTTCCTTTCCCATCAGAATTTGAAAAGGAAAATATGGAGAAATTCAGCCAGTGTGTTTGAGATACATACCATGTAAGAATACTCTCTGTCCTCTTGGAGCATAAAGAGGAGTGGTTTTGCAGGCAAGAAAATGCTCTTACTATAACTGCTGTGAACTTGTGAGATATGGGCTGAGATAAGTGAAGAGAGGGTGCTAAGCTGGATTTGAGTTTTGGAAAGGTTGTCAAGGGGACAATATCTAAGCTGAAACCTAGAATATGAATTGAATGATGAGAAAAGAGGAGAGAAGGCAGAACAACCCATGTGAGGGTTGGACCAACATCAAGAGAGAGCTGTTGAGTCCAATAATGTAAAATTACAATACATCAAATGTGCAGGGGAAATGAGGTTAGAGGGACGTGAAAGCTTTATAAACACCATTAAGCAGTCTCGTCTTTGTACTGAGGGGGAAAAGAACCACCGAAGAGTTTCAAGCAGAAAAGAGGTGTAATTAAATTTATTTTTAGAAGGACCATTTAAATAGGAGAATAGAAACAGATAAGAGAGAAGCAAATATGGAGTCAGGGAGCACAGTTTGTGCAGCAATAGGGAAGAGAGATAGTAGTGACTTGAATTAAAGAGATGGCACTGGGCCTGGAAAAAGAGAAGGCTAGGTGGCTGAAATTAGGAGCTGGATTCAAAACAAGTTATGAAGCCCAGGAGGCGTCATCAAGAATAAGATTTCCAGACTCACAATTAGGTGGGAGGTGATAGCATGCAATGAGGTAAAGACAAGCAGAACATCTAAAAGGCTGCCTAGCATCACTAATCATGGGGAAATGCAAATCAAAAGACAATGAGATAACACCTCACACTTGCTAGAATCGTTATTATCAAAAAGATAAGAAATAACAAGTCTTGACAAGGAAGTGGAGAAAAGGGAACCCATGTGCACTGTAGGTGAGGAAGTAAATTCGTGCAGTCACTATGGAAAACAGTATGGAGGTTTCTGGGTATTTATCTGAAAAAATCCAAAAACACTAACTTGAAAATATATATGCCTCTCCATGTTCATTGCAACATTATTTACAATAGCCAAGACATGAAAACAACCGACATGTCAGCCCATCGATAGATGAATAAATAAAAATAATGTGATATGTGTGTATATGTGAATATTATCCAGTCATAAAAAGAAGGAAGCCTACCATTTGTAACAACATTGATGGATCTGGAGGGCATTATGCTAAGTGAAATAAGACAAAGACAAATACCATATGATCACACTTATACATGGAATCTTAAAAAGCAAACAGATAACAAAAACAAAAAACTGAACTCATAGATACAGAAGACGGATTGGTAATTGCCAGAGGCAGGGGTGGGGGGTTGGGAGTTGGCAAGTGGATGAAGGTGGTCTAAAGGTACCAGCTTCAGTCATAAGTCCTGGGTGTAATGTACAGCATGATGACTATCTACACTAATAAAAGAGAAAGATGCAAATTGACTGTACCTTTGCAACACCCACCAGCCAATCAGGAGTGAGTATGAAAATTAACCCAACAAAGATGGTGGGTTAATTTGCATACGCAGCTGTTGAGCGGCCGGGGCGGGGAAGGACACTTGCATCGTCACCATGGGGACAATGCTGGCATTCTGCACCTCCCCAGCTGCTCCGAGCCTCTGGGCAGCATGGGAAGGCAGAAAGGCGAAAAGGCAGCTCCGGCCAGACAAAGGCAGTGCCGGCAGCCAGAGGAAAGAAGGCCCATTCTTGCACGAATCTTTGTGTATCAGGCCTCTAGTAGTTAATAATACTGTGTTGTACAGTTGAAAGTTGCTAAGAGAATAGATTTTAAAAGTTCTCATCACAATAAAAAAAATTTGTAACTGTGTGTTGATAAATGTTAACTAGACTTATTGTGGTGATCATTTTATAATATATATATATATATATATATGGAATTATGTGTACACCAAAAACTAATATAATATTATATGTCAATTATATTTCAATTAAATTAGGTGGAAGGTGAGACCTTCCCTGTTGCTCTATCCAAAGGTTTTAAATCTCCTGCTTAAAACCTTTCTTCCTAATGTACTAGTAAATAAAAAAAGTCTGCACTTACTCCTCTGATCTAAAGGACCCACAAGCCCTGCTACCCTGGCACAGTGGTTGAGTGTTGATCTATGAACCATGCCTGGTTTGTGGGCTTGATCCCCAGTGGGATTGAGTGCAGTAGGTAGTCAATCCATGATTCTCTCTCATCATTGATATTTCTATCCCTTTCTTCCTCTCTGAAATCAATAAAAATAAATAAAGGATCTGGTTCTTGCCTGTATCTGATCATATCCCCTACATCTTTTCCTGCCCTTCCACCCAGGTCTTCTGTCAGCTCCTTGTCCATACGGAGCTCTTGCTGTCATCAGAGCCACCACAGGGCTCCCTTCCCTAGAACATGCTTCCAAACACAACCAGGTAATTGGCTGATTGTCACCCAGCACTACCCAAAACCATAGAGAAGCCTGAGGAAAGAGGGAAAATATGTTCCTCTCTCTATGTTTTATTGTATATTTAAATGTTTGATATTTTTACAGAACACTAAAGCAGTTGAAGAAATACTGAAAACTTGTATTTTAGGTTCCTGGCCTCAACAGAAGCAAACACAATCAATAATATATTTTAAATCTACTTCTTTGCTTATCTCATTTTTAGTGGAGAGAATGGTCATATTTGACATCTCTTGACCAAGTGATGATCTTAAATAATTTTTAATTAGCTTCAGCTTATTGATACTTTCTAATTAAAATTTTGATATTTCATTTGTTTTTTTACTTTGCTTTTGCTTTTTAATAATGTTGTACAAAAGAATTTATTTATTTTGATTACTGAGGTCTTGGTGCCCCCTTAAATTCTGTGTTCAGTTCTGTGCTCATGCTTCATGCAGCTCAGCCCTGCTCAGCTCAAAGGCCATCTCCTCAAAGAGACCTTCCTTGACGCTCCATCCAAAGAAGCCAGGCAGCTTTGCACTTGCCCACTTATCTTTTCTACTATTACTCTGAATTCATTTTAATAGCACAACTATTATTCTAAATGATCTTGCTTAACTTTTAGACTTTTTCTTGACTTTAGTCTTCAGACCCCAGGTGGAACCTCTATGCTCTGTGCCAATCGTATGCATCATCCTACCACACCTAGCACAGCAGCGGCACACATTTAATGAAGTAATACATTTGGGATAGTGGGTTTCTAGAATCTAGATGGTCCTTGAAGCCTCGGACTTAAAGGATGTGTGGTACAAAAAGAAAAGCAGGCCTAGGGTAAACTCTGGGAAACAACAACATTGAAGGAGCAAATAAAGAGGAATCTACTGAAATACAAATGGTGGTGAGAATGTGGAGCTCACAACAAGTGCCCTCATTCACTGCCTATGGAAATGCAAAATAGAATAGCCGCTTGGGAAGAGAGTTTGGAAGTCTCTTACAAAACTATATATACTCTCACCATACGACCCAGCAATTGCACTCCTCGGTATCTACCCAAAGGAGTTAAAACTGTATGTCCACACAAGAATTGCACACAGATATTTGTAGCCGAAACTAGGAAGCAACCAACATGTCCTTGATAAATGAATGGGTAAATAAACTGTGGTACATACAGACAATAGAATAGTATTCAGTGCTGAAAAGAAATGAGCTATTAAGCCATGAAACTATGTGGAAACTTAACCCATAATACTAGTTAAAGAAGCCAATATGAAAAGGCTACATACTGTATGATTGCAGTTATAGGACATTCTGGAAAATGCAAAAGTGTGGAAATAGTAAAAGGATTAGTGGAGACAGTAAAAGGATCAGGAGGGATGAATAGGCAGAGCACAAAGGATATTTAGGGCAGAATGAAACTACTCTGTATGACACGACGACGGTGGATACATTTATCCAAACCCATAGAATGTACAACACTAACAGTGAACCCTAATGTAAACTATGGCCTGTAGATGATAATGATGTGCAATGTAGGTTCACCAGTTGTAACAAATGTACCACTCTAGAGGTATGCTGGTGATGGGGGAGGATGTGTGTGACGGGGGTAGGGAATATATGGGCACTCTCTCTGCTTCATTTTGCTGTGCACCTAAAAACTGCTTTAAGAAATTAAATCCTATTAAAAAGAAAAAGAGCTGCCCTGGCTGGGTGGCTTAGTTGTTTGCAGTGTTGTCCCATACACCAAAATGTCATGGGTCAGGGCACATAACTAGGTTGTGGATTCGATGCCCAGTCAGGCGTGTACGGGAGGCAACAGATCCATGTTTCTCATATCAATGTTTCTCTTTCTCTCTCCATCTCTCCCTTCTTCTCCTTCTAAAATCAGTAAAAACATATCCTCAGGTGAGAACTTTTTTAAAAAAGGGCTAACTGATAAAGTACAAAGAAGCAGAGAGAATCTGAAAGGTAGTTCCTGCAAAAGGCAAAGGAAGAGACTTTCAAGAGGGAGGGTGGGGCAGTCATTGCCTAGCGCTGCCAAGAGCTCGTCTAATAAGACCACAGAGCGTCTCATGAATTTGGCAACAGATGTCATCCGCTCCTTTAGCATCAGCAGACTCAGTGAAGAATGGTGGGTGGAAGCCAGATGGCAGCGGGTTGAGGAATGAATGGGTAGTATGGAGGCAGAGATAACAATAATGACTCCGCAAGATGTTTGGCAGGGAAGAAGAAGCAACATAAAGATATGTCTAGAGAAGTAAAAGATTCAAGAGAATACTGTTGTTTTTAGAGTGGGAGAGACATTAGCATGCTTAAATATTGATAGGAGAAAGCCAAGAAAAAGTGAGAGATAAAGAATGATAATATGCCCTGGCTAGTTTGGCTCAGCGCGTAGAACGTCAGCCTGTGGACCAAAGGGTCCTGGGTTCGATTCTGGGCAAGGGCATATGCCTGGAATTTGGGTTTGATCCCCAGTAGGGGGCATGCAGGAGGCAGCCGATCCATGATTCTCTCTCATTATTGATGTTTCTCTCTCTTCTCTCTCTCTCTCTCTCTCTCTCCTCTTCCTCTCTGAAATCAATAAAATATATTAAGAAAAAAAGAATGATAATGTAAGAAAGGGATATTGATATTTCTGAACAGGTGGGAATGGGTGCAAACCGGAACCCTGGTGGAGGGTTTTACCTTGAACAGGCAGAGAAGAGCCTAGTCTACTGTGAATAGTAGGAAGGGGGGTGGGGGTGGGGACAGTAAATAGGTATGATGGCGAGAAATGGATGGTACCTTCTCTGCTGGTTTTCATCTTTTCTGCGAAATTGGAGGCGAGGTCATGTGCTGAGGACGAGAGTGAGGTGGTCAGGTGGGGCATTTCATTTATTCACTCAACGAAGATTTGTTGGGCACCTACTATGTGCCGGCACTGTTTTGGGTACGAGAAATCTATTAATGAACAAAACAAGATTCCTGCCATTGTGGAATTAATAATAAACAACGAAGATGCTAAATAAGTTATATAGTGGTTAGAAAGTTATATAAATACTCTGAGAAAATAGAACAGGGCAAAGGAGATGAAGAGTGTTGTGTAGGGGGAGGTAGAGACTGTTGTGCAGTGTCAAATAGAGAGGTAAAGGTAGAACGTGTAGCTAGTATTTAAACATGATGAGGGTGTCAGATGGATATCTGGGAGAATGGTATTTGAAGAGGAAGGAATAGCCAGTGCAATCGTTATAAGGTGGGAGAATATTAGACACTGTATGAGTTTCCTACTGCTGCTGTAACAAGTCACCATAAAACTTGTGATTTAAAACAACACAGATGTGTTCTCTTACAGTTCTGGAAGCAGAAATCCAAAATCAGTCACAGGGTCAAGGTGTCAGCAGGGCCAATTTCTTCTGGAGTATGTAGGGGAGGATCTATGTCCTTGCCTTTTCTAAGTTCTAGAGGCTGCCTGCATTTCTTTCCCTATAACCCCTTCCATCACTCCAGCCTCTTGTTCCCATGCTCACACTTCCTACTTCCCTTTCATAGTCAACTCTACCTCTGCTCCCCTTTTATAAGGATGCTTGTGATGACAGGTGGTGTCCTCCAGGATAATCCAGAATCATCTCCCTATTTCAAGATGAAGATCTGGCCAATGACATCTGCAAATCCCTTTTGCTATGTAAGGTAATAGTCAAATGTTGCAAGGATTAGGACCTGGATGTATTTGGGGTACATTCTCCAGCTTACCACAGTCCACCCTCTGGCCCCCAAAGATTAACATCCATTCAATATGCAAAATCCATTCACCTCTATCCCAACATACCTAAAAGCCTCAATCCGTTACAGCATCCATGTAAAGCTACCCAGAGTATCTCCCTTAGGCTTTCATCACATCTATAAAACACCTTCACAGAAACACCTAGATTAATGGGGTTTTTTTAGCTTTTTTTTTTTATTCTCACCCGAGGATTTGATTTTTTTTGGGGGGGGCGGGGGGAGAGAGAGAGAGAGAGAGAGAGAGAGAGAGAGAATCGAACCAGCAACTTTTGGTGTAAGGGATTATGTTTCAACCAACTAAGTCACCAGGCAGGGCCACCTAGATTAATGTTTGATTGACTAACAGGCAGGCTATTATAGCTTAGTCAAGCTGACCCATAAACTGACCATCACAGACATGTTCAAGATTCAGCAGGTGGCCATGTGGCTGAACAGATGTGAGTAAGCAAAAAGTAGTAAGAGGTAATGTTAGAGAAAGAATGGAGGGCCTGAAATGTAGGCCATTGAAAAGAATCAAGTTTTGGAACTATTACTTCAGAGAATCAGAGGGCCCAGTTTTAAGGCTGAAAAACATAAATGTAGAGTGTACCAAACTCTATAATAAAGTTATTTCCTCTAGCAGTCAGCAGTCCAAATTTAGGCAAGATGAAGCCAGATACTTGAATTGAACCAGGGATTTTAAAATATAGACATAACAGCAAAAGGAAATGGGGGTAAGGAAGTTAATTGACAAGAGAAACATGGAAACAACAAGCCATGACATCTAAGCTGGGTGGGAGGTAAGTGAACACTGAATAGGGAAAGAGCTGGACTTCGAGGCATCAGAGGAGGACAAGGACAATGGTAACAACAGACCACATGATCAAGGAACATTTGGAGTAGGAGGTACTGCATGAGACAGCTGGACACTCAAGAGGCCCTGGTTGACGTCCACACATATCCTTTCTGGATGGAACAGTGATGGGCTATGACAAGGTGCACCTGTGTTTGTGGACAGAGTGACTGATGAGAAATCAAATTAAGTCATGGGGCTGAGCAGGGCTTGGAGGGGAAATCTGCAGGATGAGCCTCTTGCCAGTGTCTTCACGGAACGAAGGGTGCTTGTCAGGAGCACAGATAGTGATATAACCAGAGGGGTCAGTCCTAAGACAAAAGCTGGAAGAAAGCAGGGCTTTTCTTGCATCCTGAGGCATGTGTGGAGGGCAAAAATGAGCACTATCCATTTGAGATCACTACCAACAAAAGCAGTGCCCTAAGGAGCCAGCCTGGCTGCAGTTAAGGCCTGTGAGTAGAGGGAATCTTCAGTGCAAAGGCTGAGCATGCAGGGAATTGTTCACTGTAGGACCATGGACGGCTTAGAGAGGAGAGCAGCAGGCAGGTAGGAGGCAGAGGGAGCAGAGAACTATAAAAATGAGAGAAAGTCAGAGGATCTTGGACGGCAACCAAGAGTAACAGAGAGAGAAGGCATGATGGATTTACTGGTGGTGAGTTTTCCAAAAGAGTAAGTCCCAGCAGTCTCCTGGTGGCTGAGGAGAGGGACACTTAGACCCTGAGTCATCCTGGCCTGGATGGATTCCACCAACAAGGGAGGCCTGCTGTTGGACGAGTGGGTCTGGCCTCACTGCAAAAAGACTGTGGTGGGCAGCATTCCACTGTGCTGCAGGGTGGAATTTAAGAAGAGGCAGAACCTATCTATATATGACTGACTACTCGAAAGTGATATTGTGAATCGCTCAAAGGTGAAGGTCAATGGAAAGAACAGCCCAGCAGACAGTTTGACCATGGGACAAAGAACCATAGTTATAAATACACACATATATTTTTATACTGCTCTTTGATTGCTATCACTATAAGCACATAAATGAAAGTTGAAATTGTGGCTACAGAGAAGGAAAAGTGCCATCTAGGGATATCATTGATGATGACGATGATGATAATAATAACTATAACAATAATATTAGCAAACATTTACTGAGCACTTCCCCCACACCAACCACTACTCTAGCAGATGACATGTATTAACTCAGTTAATCATCTAAACAACCTTATGAGTGGGTATTAATACTTTCCCCATTCTACAGATGATGTCACAATACTTATATTAATTACACCAGGATTCAAACCAAGAACCCATACTCTTTTTTTTTTTAATATATTTTATTGATTTTTTACAGAGAGGAAGGGAGAGAGATAGAGAGTTAGAAACATCGATGAGAGAGAAACATCGATCAGCTGCCTCCTGCACACCTCCCACTGGGGATGTGCCCGCAACCCAGGTACATGCCCTTGACCGGAATCGAACCTGGGACATTTCAGTCCGCAGGCCGACGCTCTATCCACTGAGCCAAACCGGTTTCGGCAAGAACCCATACTCTTAATCCAAATCTTACGAGAGAGAGAGAGAGAGAGAGAGAGAGAGAGAGAGAGAGAGAGAGGAGGAGAGAGAGAGAGAACTGAAGACATAACCCTCGAGAATATCAATAGTTAAGAAAGTATTGCAAGGAAAATGGAGAAAGTGTACATGGTTAAGATACTTATGTCATTGATCTTAAATATGATATTAAAAGTTGATCTTAAAATAGGTTCTTGGCAATACCTCATTTTCATGCCTTTGACTCTTTTCTTGAAAGTGAATGTAGAGGGGGGAAAATGAATTCAAGTTAGTTGGTTTTCAATTAATGAAAGTTTTGTGATATCTGCCTGGTGGCCTAATAAAAGCAACTTTAGCACTGAAAAATTTTCCTCTGGCTTTCCTGCATTCCCACAAGAAATTTTTATTTAAAAAATAATAATCACCATAATAATAATAATTTTTCTTGTTTTTCAAAGTGAACGCCTTGGACCCCACTGACTAGAGCAGTTACTGAGGAAGGGTCGGGGTTAATTTCAGTTCTCCTGGGTTATGAACATTGACATGGGACTTAAGAAAAACCTTCATCCAATTTTTTCCAAATTAAATCAAGAGCATTGATAATTAGTTTCTATCAAAGACATCTAGTGGGAAATGAAAGAGCTGAAAAAGCCATAAGCTGCCTTTATTTCTTCATTAATATTTGCTCCCAAATGCAGGTCAAATAAACCACACTCGCAATTTTAAATGAGTTGCTTCAAAGTTGATGAATTATTTTTCTCTTTGGATTCATACCACCCGCTGCGGCTAATTATTCCCACTGCATTCCCTTCTCTTACGTGAGGTTTTAGTCCAACAAAGAAAACAAATCGAGGCTTCCTAGAAATTGAACTCCGTTTTGCCATTTTGCTGTAAAGATTTCTTTCACCTCATAGGCAATCCCACTTTGAAGACCAAGAGAATTGTTCTCACCATCACTCCTCCAGTTGGCACTGCTGGTTTGGAGGTCAGCTGGTTTGTGAGGTCAACTGGTTTGTGAGGTCAGCTTGTTTGTGAGGTCAGCTGGTTTGAGGGGTCAGCTTGTTTGTGAGGTCAGCTGGTTTGTGAGGTCAGCTTGTTTGTGAGGTCAGCTTGTTTGTGAGGTCAGCTGGTTTGTGAGGTCAGCTTGTTTGTGAGGTCAGCTGGTTTGAGGGGTCAGCTTGTTTGTGAGGTCAGCTGGTTTGGGAGGTCAGCTGGTTTGGAGGTCAGCTGGTTTGGGAGGTCAGTTTGTTTGTGAGGTCAGCTGATTTTATGGCTTTCAGAATCCCCTGAGCACAAACCACATTTGGGACACAGAAGCCTGTAGGAGCTGCAATGCCAACCCCACCAGGCCCATGCCACCACTCTAATTTCCCTTGAAGCTTTCATTCTACTGTGCTTCCTTTTGCTCATTTGTAAGATGAGGATAATAACAGTGCAGTGGACAACCCTGGCTGGCCAAGCCACGCTTCCTCTCCCCTGTGCAGTCATTGCTGGGAAGCAATCATTCAGCCAGAAAGTATATTCCCCGCCTCTGCTGTATCCAAGTAGAGTACATGACTAGTTGTCACCAATAGAAAGTCAATGGACACAATGTCCCTGGTTCTTAAGAGAGACTCTCCATATCCTTACTAGTAGATATCCCAAGTAATAGGAGTGTCTTTGTTATTGATGGCCTCTTGGAACACACCTGAGTTTATGCTAAGAGGTGAGATGACTCAGCATGGAGGCTGTCACCAAAAGAGCAAGTGGGTGAGTCAGCCAGCCTGACCTCTGGAGAGGAGAGGGGGCTGGAGATGAAGTTCAGTCACGTGACCCATGATTCACTCAATCACACCTAAGTAATGAACCTCCAGTATAAACTCTGACACCACAGCTCAGAGGAGCTTCCTGGCTGATGAACATATCAGTATGCCAGGCGGGTGGGTGACATGAAGTCCTGAGTCCATGGGGAGAGGACACTAGAGCCCTGTGTCCAGGGGCCTCCTGGCCCTCATTCAATAGGTGTCTTCACTTGGGTGGTCCTGACTTATATCCTTTATAATAAAACTAGAGGCCCAGTGCACAAAAATTTGTGCACTCAGGGGGGTCCCTCAGCCTAGCCTGTGCCCTCTCACAGTCTGGGACCCCTCAGGGGATGACCACCTGCTGGCTTAGGCCTGCTCCCTGGGGGATTGGGCCTAAGCTGGCAGTCAGACATCCCTCTGGCAGCCCAGTAGCCCTCGGGGGATGTCCACTTGGCAGCGGGGAGCAGGCCTAAGCTGCAGTCGAACATCCTTAGCGCTGCTGAGAAGGCAGGAGAGGTTCCCACCACTACCGCGGTACTGGCAGCCATCAGCCTGGCTTGTGGCTGAGCAGAGCTCCCCCTGTGGGAGCACAATGACCACCAGGGGGCAGCTCCTGCATTGAGCATCTTCCCCCTGGTAGTCAGTATGTGTCATAGTGACCAGTCATTCCCAGTCGTTCTGCTGTTAGGGTCAATTTGAATATTATCCTTTTATTATATAGGAGTGCCTGGCCAGCCTGGGTGAGGGGCTGATGGCAGTTTGCAGGCTGGCCATAGCCCCTTCAGGGTGGGGATCCCCCCTGGAGTGCCTGGCCAGCCTGAGTGAGGGGTTGATGGCTGTTCAGGCTGGCCACAGCCCCTTCAGGGTAGGAGTTCCCCCTGGGGTGCCTGGCCAGCCTGGGTGAGGAGCTGATGGCTGTTTGCAGGCTGGCCACAGCACCTTCAGTGTGGGGGTCCCCACTGGGTGCCTGGCCAGC